GCAAATTGATAATGCATTACACACATATCAGATATATTCAAGAAAATTAAAATAAATTCAACTATAATCAATTAAAATGTAATGTTTCATAACTTTTGACCAAATTGCATCTAGAATTATTCAGAATAAAATATAAGAATATTAAGTAAAGCATTATTATTTGTACACATTGTTTAAAACAGTTTTATATAGAGATAGAAAATAAGTGTTTCCTGCATATATAAATACAGAATAATATTCATTGTCAATTCTGAGTCTGACAGCGATATATATATATATATATATATATATATATATATGAAAAAGATATTTTATATACTTATATATGAAAAAGATATTTTTAATTAACTGTATCAACGTGAATCGCAAACAGTTATTTGGCGAACAGGGAACTTGATGTCATACGTTGTGGAGATACTTTTGAGTTATCATTTAAATGTACTATTAGAGAAGAAAATAAATATTTTCTAATATTCTTCTTCCATTAATACTGACAAATCATGTTGACTCTTTCTGATCAATCTTGTTTATCCAATTAACGACTGTTGGCTAAAATAAAAATAGTGAAAATTGTATCTATATAAAATTAATTGCAATATAATAATTAAAAAGATTAACTTTGTGACGTGGTCTTTTTGAGCCCGTCACAAGGGTGGACACGCCCGGCCGGGAAGCGTCTGAGAGCGCTGTACAATTTTGTGTTTCGTGCGGGTGAGCAGCGACCTTTTCGCTAGCTCGCCCGTACTCTGTATCGGGATCGAGGTGGTAGGCCAGGAGAACGGCCATTGTTTTAGGGAGAAGAGGACCTGGGCAGACGACGGAGGAATGACTTCGAAAGGGGAGGAGCGGAGACTGAGCGACCGGCCCGGTGAGTATTAAGAACAATCAAAAATACGCGGTACCGAGAAAATAAGAAAGGGATACTGCAAATAAACTCGTTACAGCCTCGATGGGACGAACAGGAGCAGTCCAAAACAGGGAGGAAAAGGCGCCTACATTCCGCGACCAGGATGATTCCCTTGAGGGGCCCGCCACCACACATCGAGAGAAACACGGAGATCTAACGGGACTGATCACCCCGAGACGACTTTCCTCAGCAAATAAAGGTCGTTCGGAACATCGTACGGCCATACGAGGTGTGGACGGGACCGCCGAGAATGGACCTGCTGCATCGTCGCTCCCGAGGACTGAAATTTGAATTTGGCGGCGGAAGTCCGCGACCAGCTGCGACACACAGGAATCGATACGAGGATCGATTCCGGGTCCGGCGCGGGGCGCAACGCTGCCGCGAGACCTGGCAACCGGGCCGGGGTGGCGCGCATTGTCTTCCCCCTTCCCACCAGCGTACTTTCCGAGGTCCCGCCGGCCCGAAAGGAAATCACTGTTCGACGAGCCGGTGTCCTGCGAGCACGAAAAAGGACGAAGACCCACAGCGACCACCTGCGACGGCGGATTATTGTAAGGCCACCTCCTCGATCGTCCGGTAAGCGTGGATTCGGCAGAGACCCGTGAATTATTAGAGAAGTATAACGATACCGAGCAATTATGCTGTAAATAATTTAGTACCGAGAATTAGTTGAGAGACTCACGGGACTCGCGTCGATTTCCGCGTCATTAAGTTATTGCGTAAATCTTTGCCTTCTTCGCTTCTCCGAGGGGCACCGAAACGAGTCGACAGTCATATCGTAATATATTGTAATTGTAGCATTGTATCGAGTCATTGATTAGCAATCCTTGAGAATAAGTTCCGCTGGATTAATGTATGGTCTATTCGATTCCGAGCCGGATACAAAGGGAGGAGAGTAATGATAACTAAAGATTCCGAGAAAACCCAGCGATCTCCCTACGGCTCGATAATAGTATTATAGTTATTTTTATTCACACTATCTATATACTACTAATTGAAAATATACTCTTATTTTATCTTATTTCTGAGTACAATTAATATCGAGATTTCCTCTCTCTCCGAGACTGCGATTCCGAATCTCCTTACGGAAAGAACCACGACACTCTACCCCCTGTTGATACCGAGCTACCGAGGCCGAGTCGTCGTGTCCGCTGATTATTTGCCGAGATATTGTTGGGTGGTGCGGCCTGACCGCACCTGGCGCCCAAAAAGATACGATACCGAGCATTCAGTGATACCGAGCAAGTATTGAGAGAACGGAGAGCGGCACGACGAGGTTGCGCAGCAGTCTCTCTCGCACTCTCTCTCGTTTGACGAGAGAGGACGGAGAGACGGTCGCAACTTACTGATGTGAAACTTTGTCAGAAATAACCGACCATATTTTATAAATAAATTATTTAATTCAAATTTTTTTGATGGAATGGACGTTCTTAATTGTGAGAAGTCCAAAATATCGTTTGGAGTGTAATTATTATCAAAATTTTCCACTGAATCTATTCTGAATTTTCTGTAAATATAGCTAAGCAGAGACAAACTTGTTATTTCTTTTGTTGTATAAATTATAGAGAAAAAAAATTTACAACTACTTTCAACGAATAAATTCATATAAAACAATTGTTCAAATTAAAATAAAGCAACTATTAAAAAAGAACAGCAAGAATAAAATTTAGATTTATATCACTGAAGACTGGAGACTTAAAAGAACATCAATTCATATAGATCATCAAGCTCTATGACATATTGTACAGTTGGTCTATTTAGACCTTTAAAGGAATAGCATTAATTGAATACTAATATGTTTAGTTTTATATAAAACAAACTCTTCTATTGTATAGTGAATCGCACAGAGTCTTTCAGTAGAGTTAGAATCTTGAAATTGTCTCCGATCATTCAGGTTTTTGTAAATACACAGCAAGATGCGGATTTATAATAGTTTTTGAGCTACATGTGGAGATATCTGCTCGTAAATTGTTGTAAATTTGCCAAACTCCATTAGAACGCAAGCAGTATGCAATATAATGCCCCGATATGTGAGCTATTACTCCAGCCAACCTGAAAACAATTAATTTTTTATACAATTCAAAAATATAAAATATTTGGAAATTAAAAGTCATTGTGCCTATCTGTATTCGAAACTTTCATCTTTATAACATTGAAACTTGAGTGTTGTCGGTAATTGTTCCAATCTGCAATCTAATCCACTTTTACATTGAATACTCGGGCGTATATCCAGTTCAATGAATATGTGAATTCTTGGTTCTCTAAACCATGTGTATTTTCCCAAGCATGGATCGCAACAACGTATCTTATAAATCGGCGATCTAAAGTCTAAAGCTTTCTCCAGAGAACTAAAGCCTTCCTTTGCAATTATTTTATGATTCGGTCCTAATATTACAGTTGGAAACGTCGTAACATTGCAGCCCGTGCATTTCTTCGTGTTCTGTATGCTAGGCTCTGTGGTCAGGATATTTTTTGTGACATTTGCGATATTGTCAAAAGAATCAATCATGTACGATACAATTCTAAGATTTGTTTGCACGTGGGGTGTACAATTGTAATAATTTTTTAGTATTAAAACCCTTTGCCGGAGCACATATTGCGTCACTCCTTTCTGAACCAAATTAAACACGAGTTGCAGTGTAGGGTTGTTTGATGCTTTCAAAAAAGTCTGGTAATTGATGTCGTCGATTGCTCCTGTCATGAGCACGTGAATTAGAGAATCAAAGGGGCACGTATTTGTCACAAAATATGAATTTATTATTCTTTTATCTTGACAGATGGAAAAAGCAAACCATGAGGTAACAAAGATGATTTTTTCCTTTGTTCAACAAGAGCATTTATTTGCGAAATTTCAGGATATGCTTTAAAATATTTACTAATCTTTTTTGATTTATGATGACAAACTTGGGATTGTTTTTCCGATCCTGAGACGAGATGTGTAGAAGAAATGTAATTCGATTTTGATTCTTCTTTTAAATTATTCTTGGATTCGATAAAATTATTGTTCTGCTGATCAATTATCGGGCTGACCAAATCAGTTATCGAAGTACTCATCGATGAATATGAATGATCTAGCAAAGCTTCATTTGATGACTTGATATTTATGATCTCGAGTTCTCTAGAACCCGTCAAACTGGGTGCAATGTCAGAAACAATGTGATTTTTTACACTTTCTTCGTTGCAATCGTTATAATCGAAATAGTCATTATTTATATTAACTTTTCCGCGCTAATTTTCCATAGCCAACAAGTCTGAATCAAGATAAGATTCGACATCGTTCGATGGCATCTCTATAAAATTTGAAACGTCAATGTTGAAGTCCAAGTTTAAACAATCAAGTTTATTTTTTTCAATATTTTCTTGCCAATTCTTATTAGTAAGCAAATCCGAATCGAAAAATCGATCTTCGATGTTGTTTGGTGACATTTTAACGTGCGTTTTCTCCTCACAATTTGATTTGATAAATTTGCTAAATAAATCATCGAACATCTTCCTCCTTTTTTTAATCAATTCAGACATTGAATTATCTAAGTACATATTTCTTTGTTCACCTCTGTCTTCAATTCAGTACTTCGTTCGAACAAGTCGTTGAATGTTCGTTGACTCTCACTTGTTGATTCTGAGCGATTCTGTTCGGTGTTTTTCGGTGTAGAATGCACTTCATAAGATAGTTTAGGCTTAGACTTATTGATTTTACTTTCTTCTTTCTTCATTAGGTCAGTATTGTGTACACATTGTTTAGCGTTGAAATTTATCATACTCGATGAGAAAAGCAAAGTTGCACCTTGAATGTCATTGACATGCATTATTAAAAATTTATCGACTCGCATTGGCCCAGTTTTCATAATTCGGGTTTTTATGTCGTTGAAGTAATTCTCTACGTAACATAAAGTTGCATGTGCACTGTAATCCATTCCAACGCTGGTCCATAGAGGAAATTCCTTAACACGCTGCAAAAGTATATCGACGAATTCTGGTAAAAAAAATAGGTTTAACTCCTCACCATCGCGTTAATTTAGCTTAGCTCTTCCAACTTGTTCATCGATCCAGTCACCGATTATACTGCTGCCTTGGTCCAATTCGTCACATTTGGTCATGGCTTGAGCTTTTGGATGTTTAGGTTTATCACCAGTAATTTCGTCTATATTAATATAAAAGGCATAAATAATCCCTCGATCGTATCGGCGAGATCCACTGAAAATTATGAAACAATTAATTTTAGCTTTATTAATTAAAAAATGTAAACTATATACAGGGGGTAGACAAAATAATGTGAACACCTGTGAAAATGGGATATTTATATTTGTTTGTTAATAAGATGTTGGGCCGCCATTTGCCTTTTTTTCAGTGAAATTTCTCATTCCTCTATTTGTCAATTCTCTATTTTTTTCAAAATTGTCTACAGTCCGATGATATTAAGCTATTAAGATACCCAAACATTCTCTCTGGCCAGCACAATTACCAAACCCAAATATCATCGAACCACCATCAACAAATTTTTTACTAGTGGCTCGATGATATTCCAATTTGGTAATTATGCTGGCCAGAGAGAATGTTTGGGCATCTTAATGGCTTAATATTATCGGACTGTGGGCAGTTTTGAGGAAGAGTGAGAAGCGGATTTCCTTCTTCAACATCTCTAGGGTAATTAACGAATTGAAATAGAATAAGACAGCATTGCACTAAAAAGGGGACAAGTGATGGCCCAACATTTGATTAATGAACAGATATAAATACACTTCTTTCACAGGTGTTCACATTATTTTGTCTACGCTCTGTATATTATTTTTTATACATACTTTTTATGACTGAAGAACATGAAAATCCAAATGTACAAGTGCAATGCACTTAAGGCACGTTCCACTAAACTTTTGCAACGCTCATTTTCTATAGTATATGTCACATTTACTGTAGAAAATGAGCGTTGCAAACTTTCAATACCTGTAACAAACATTAATATGTAGATGATAAATAGAGAACAATTTCGGTAAAGTCGAATACGTAACATTAATTACATTGATTATTTTTTGCGTTTTTCAACTCTTTAGATAATTTTATTTTTAATTTTTTTATTCAATTATTTTCTAGAATTTTCTAGAGTTTCAAAAAAACGTGTTTAATATGTCCGGTCTCGTCCAAGACAAAGAATTTTGTTCCACTCTAGAAAATTGTAGAAAAAATGGTTCAGACAACTTACGTCTTTTGTTGTTAGGGATATCTTTATGTATTTGCCGATACGATCGAGGGATCATTTATGCCTTTCATATCTTTATGTATTTTAGCGAATTAAAATACTTTTTATATTTAAAATAAATAATATATATATATATATATATATATATATATATAAATCTGCATTAATTACCTTAATCTCACTCGGTCTCTCGTTCACACGTAACGTGGCTTGGCGCAAAAAGACAGGAAATACCACCATGTTTCTTGATGAATGTTATTTTCGCAATTTCCTGCCAATGTTAAGGCTCGTATTCACAGCCAGTTTTATAGATGTTAGCCTTACATTAATAGAAATAAGCCTTAAATCGCAATAAACCAATCATATTCGATTACTGCAGATGCGGTCTCAATGAGAGATAATTTTTTGTTTTTTTCCAATTTAAGAAGAAAATATGAACCAACAAACGCTAAAATTAGACCAACAAACGTCAGCAGGTGATTACGCATCGATTAGACCGCTTTTTAATTAAAAATGAGATTTTTCCGGCTAACTTCCCGCTAATTTTTCTTTTTTAATTAAAAAAAAACTAAGAACCAACAAACGTTGAAATTAGGCCAACAAACACCAACAAACGACCAACAAACGATAAAAAAATTAAAAAAGTCGAAGTCGACCGGCTAAGTTCACGGAGCCGTTATTTATTACTTCTTCAGGCAATGATGGGAACATTTGGACGTAAGTGTTCCTTCGTCATGGTTTGTGTGAGCTCTTGGGTTTTAAGTTGGAACATTAGCGGCTCTGGAATGGAAAAAACGGCTTGATCCAACATCAATAGGATGTCGCGTTCAGCAGGTGTGATTGGTTGTTGAAGTTTTACCTTCAAACTTATTATTCTAAACCACAGCATTGCTGTCGCGTAATAATCCAGATACTCAGAGAGCATTGTTTTCTGGATGTTGGCGTCGTCAACTTGAAATTCGGCATACATAAAGCGCGAAATTTCTATTAAAGCTGGGGCGGATGATGTCATCCGTGTGTCAAGATTCATTTCTTTCGACGTCATGCCTACAGCGAATACGCTGTTCTTCAATGGATCCTCATTATCAAGAACTACATTCTTGATATCTGCTGGTATTTGCAGTTGAGTCGGAGGGTTGATTCCTTTCGGAAATCGCCGACCCTTTGAGACTTTTGCTTTCGAAGCAGCCGCTTGAATCATTGCTGGCTTCGCTGGTAGTTGTGGTTGTGGTTGTTGTTGTCCCGCCTGGTTGTTCATGGCGGGTTGGAGAGCAGTTGTCAAGATTGCTCTTGGATCAAATTAAATTTTCGCTTTTTACACGTAGAATCGAATACCGTCTGGTGAATTTTGATAAATTTAAAATAGCAACCATGGGGTGACGCTATCCGTCTTTTTCTGCTTAATTTTGGCGATTTTAGCGAAAATAGCGTCACCATGATCGCCATTTTGAATTTATCCAAATTTACCAGACAGCATTCGGTTCCATGTGAAAAAAACTAAAATTTAAGTCCTAATACGACCCTCTACTCTTAAGTGAAAAATGGGCAGCCCGGTGTGCCTTTTGACGCGAAACGTCCGATATATATATATATATATATATATATATATATATCGGACGTTTCGCGTCAAAAGGCACACCGGGCTGCCCATTTTTCACTTAAGAGTAGAGGGTCGTATTATATATATATATATTATTAGGACTTAAATTTTAGTTTTTTTCACGTGGAATCGAATGCTGTCTGGTGAATTTGGATAAATTTAAAATGGCGATCATGGTGACGCTATTTTTGCTAAAATCGCCAAAATTAAGCAGAAAAAGACGGATAGCGTCACCATGGTTGCTATTTTAAATTAAATATACATTAAATATACATGTATATAACAGACGTTTCGCGTCAAAAGGCACACCAGGTTGCCCATTTCTCACTTAAAAGTAGAGGGTCGTATTAGGGTTTAAATTTTAGCTTTTTTTTACGTAGAATCGAATGCCGTCCGGTCGAATTTTGATAAATTCAAACTGGCGACTATGGTGACGCTATTTTCGCTAAAATGGGCAAAATTAAGCAAAAAAGACGGATTATAATCTTTTTAAGAACCTCGTCCTCCTTTGTCTTATCCTTGATGTCTTCAGATGAGATCGGACCATTCGAGGTTCCTTCTAACATGAGGACGTTCGAGATTTCTTCGCTTTCTAATACCATTTCCTTGAGTTTAAATCTCGATAACATGTCTACTGTTCTACTGAAATATATATGTTTCTTTTATGGTAAAATCAGTCACAGAACTATTTCTTATCAAATCGATATGTATGAGACAAACACCGAAGTATAGAACGCAGGCTCTTTATTTGTGAACAGAGACGTTACGTTGTCGATCGGTATCCGACTCAGGACTAATCGACAAGGAGCCTTGAGCTCTGTAAGCATATAAACGTCTTTTGTGTGGTGTGTACCAATGTGTGTGTCTGGAAGTGAGTGTATGTGTGTCGTGTGTACGTACATAGCATCCCTCCCCCTAATTTAAAAAAAATATAATTTTGAGAGCTTGTTTACATTATATAAAGAAAATGTAGTTTTGCATAATTCTTGTATATGTTGTCTCAGTTTCTATTTGTTTTCAATTTGGTTGATGTGTCGCCGATGAGTGATTCCGGTTCTTCTCTTCTCGCATCTCGTACGATAATGGTCCAGTTTTTTTACCACAATTGCTCTCGCCTATTTTGGTCCCGATTTGCTGTGGTATATTCTCATTCGAATGTTTTCGTTCATTTATATTCTTATATTTCTATATCTTCCTCTTGCAAAGAAAACGGTATAAATATTTTCATTATGTGCATTATTATTTTCTAGATATATGTATATTATTTAGTTTAGAAAAATATCATTTCATAAATGTGCTTAAATATTTTATAATATTGCATAAGTTTAAAATATATGTTTATAATATTTTATCACGTACGAGCGCATTAATATATAATTGATTTAGCTATTTCTATATATGCCTGCAAGATTTACAAAAAAACTTAGAAGCTTTATTACAAGGCCTGTAATTTGATATTATTTTCTTTGAAATATAACGATGCGTAAGGATATGCTAATAAGCATATTTGAGAAAAAATTTTGTAAAAACTACTTATATGCTGAGTAATCTTGTAAAATACATTTTATACACATTTCATTAGATAATTAAATGAAATTTCTGTACTGACAAGATATGATCTTTAATGCGTTACAAATATATGGTCGTTTCTAATATATTTTCTTCGGCTGCTCTTCTCTGAGCAGCTTGAGATTAGCTTATTGTTACATTTAATTGTTATACTTAATATGTTATTTAAATTAATTTAATTTAATTGAGAAATAATGTTAGAAAAAAATGTTTCAAACATATTAGAAAAATTAGAATTCACTTATATGATAAAAGCACGGTAATCTGTGTCTTTAAATTGACTATGATGTATTCGAATTTCGAGGAAAAAATTGTTAAGCATATTTTTTTTGCACATTTGTATCAAAGATAGAAATTATATCTGTATATTAATTTATCAAGTTATGAAATCAGTTTTAAATTATTGCTGTAAAATTAAACGTGACAAATATTTTGAAGTTTACTTCGTTTTTTTATGAATGCAAGTTTAGACGTCATGGATCTGACAATGAATACAAGAGATACCACGGATTCTAAACAGCAACACCTGCAGAATGATAATAAATTAATTATTTGTCATGCATACGATATAAATATCTCTTTTCGCATACGGTGGTCATATAATATATTTGAGAACATGAAGATTTTTTATTTATTAAAAAAGATACATAAAACTATATCACTTATCTACGTAAAACTGTTCTGGTCGATCCGTAAATATTACTTCAATTGCTACGATAAATATTTCCTCATTCTTATCGAATTACTCATTATAGTCACTCCGATGTACATTACTGTTGGAACAAAGTTTCCAATTCCATTACATCTCATTCTTTTGTATTTCTATAAATATTTTTTATTATAAAAAGAAACAGATATAAATACACCTAACACATTATATATATATATATATATATATATATATATATGTGTGTGTGTGTGTGTCTGTGTGTGTGTGTGCGTGTGCATATATATATATATATATATATATATATATATATGCGCATATGTACATATACACATATATACTCACACACATACACAAACACACACATCTATAGAATATATATATATATATATATATTATATGGATGTTATTTATATATATATAAAACATCTGAGCAAAGCGTTTTAAAAAAAGCATGTAATTTTATAATTTTAATTGACACAATGACAATAAGATAAATTAATTGAGAGTAAATGTTATCAATTTTGAAAAAAAAATTTCTCTTTTCACTCACACGTATCCCTCAGAATACAAGTTGAACTACAAATTGCGATGAGAATGAGTGAAATGCATGATCGAGAACATAATTCAACAGATTATTCGCCAAACTAATCTAATACGAAGAAAGTCGATTGGAAGTTACTGAAGTGTATGTCCCATCCCATCCCAAGATCAGTGAAGTCTACATCTGAATTGGATTTTCCCTTTTCCTGAATCTGTTCCTTGTCAACAAAAGAAGAAGCAGAAGAAGAAGAAGAAGAAGAAGACTGACGATACTCTTCTTATTCGATATACGAGAAGAAGCTTACAGTTTCACCTCTAAAAGTTTACATCAAATCTTCTTATGTAATATCACTTGAAGATACTCTGGCAGTGTGTATAACTTTTAACTATTTATTTGTTCCTTGTCAACAAAAAAAGAAGAAGAATTGGTACCGGAGAACATCTGTTGCTGTCATGGTATTTACTACTTAAATCATACGAGTACAAAATCGCTAGCTCAAGCAACATGGTGTTTACGACAAAAATAATCGTATAAGACGAGTAACTGAAAATATAAAATCAAGCGTGACTCCTGCAAAAAAGAAGAAATGTTACTCATCAAATGTAATTATTAAATTGCATAAAAAGAATATATTTTATAATAATATATTTTGTCAACATTTGCAATCAAGATGAAGCAAACAAATTTCATAATAAATATGCAGCTCATCTTATCTTAATTAAATAACGCAAGAATCCAGAAAATCTTAAAATTTGCGTTTGCAAATTTTTTTGAAGGAAGTGCACATAATCATACTTTCTTCGAGCGGACAATTTTGTCAAGAGCTAATTGTGGATCTCATTCATCGGATGG